GATGATATGTTTCGTGTTTCGTATACTTGTTCTTGTAGGGTCATGTCCATTCTCCATTTGAGTTCCATATTATAACCCTTATTTATAGATTCAATTTCGGCCAATAAAGGGTCATAAAAAATACACCATAAGAGTGGCATGATTGCGTCTCCTTGGTCTACCCCTTTAAGTATCCTGTATGGTTCTGTCAATCCGTATTCTGTTATTCCTTGTCCAGTACGATTTTCTTCTATAAAATTAATTATGTTTATGATAGCTGTTGGAATTTTTAGTCGTTTTAGCGCTAGGCTCATCATATTTGCATCGACCGAATCAAAAGCCCTTCTTATATCTTGAAATAAAAGCCAGAGTTCTTTATTGTCTTCTTTTGCGTCTTCTATTATATTATTAATAATATGTATTGGATATGATGTTCTTCCTCCCGGGAGACCAGCATAGTTATTTTCTGTTAATATTTTGTTTTCAACTAATATATCTGATAGTCTTATTGTGATTATTTTTGTAAAGATTTTCCTTGCAGTTTCCATGAGCGTAATTGGTCGTGTGATTTCTAAATTCCCTTCCCAATCTTTAGGCTTGGGTATTAATGTTACATTGCTGTTTATCCAATCCTTTGGGACCACTCCAACTTCTGTTATTTTGTTATAAAGTAGGCAAAGTAACTTGATGCCATTTTCTTCTAAGTGTTTAAATACTTCGTAAGGTATTAATGATGGCCCTGGAGCTTTATTATTACTCATAAGTTTGATGATTTTGATAACTTCATCCTCGTAAATTGTTGCTATTAGTGAGTTATAGGTATTATCTTTGATTTCAGTTTTGGGTTTATACTGTTGCGTCCATCTTTGGTTTAGCGTAGTGTTGGCAATTTCAGTGCCTTCTGTCCACTGATATAGATGTTCTTGTACGCAACTTTTAATTTGTTCAGGGTCAGTGATTATTGTGACAGTATTATCATTTTGGTTTTGTATTATCCGGTTCAGGACAATTTGTCTTGATTCTCGATTTAAAACTCGATCTATCATAGATTTTGGTTTTGTATTCAGCATAGTTTGTCTCACTTCGATTTTCTGTTTGATTTCACGTTGTTTTTCCCTTATAAGATCTCGTTTGACAATCTTTCTGGTAATGGTCCACCATTGTTTTATATTTTCTATCCATCTTTCTTGATCTAGTTCATTATCATTTGAAGGATATGGATCTATATTCACATTATGGGTAATAGTGAGTTTTGAAATTATCTTAGAAATCGAGCTAAGGGATTGATTCGAGTTATTTGGGTTTTTGTTATCTTTTAGCTTTCTTTCCAATTTATATAATTTATTTGCTAGATTTAATAATGGATAACTTGGATGTTTGCACCATATAACATTTGTACAGTTTTTTGGTTCTTTAGTTTTGAATAAATTTTGGTTGCCTGCTGTAATCAATATTGACTTAAGTGATTGCCATATTGATTCTACTGTATTATTATTATTATTATGTGATAGAAGATATTGTTTAGATGTTTGTTCTACTTGTGTTGTAAATTGTTCCCAATTTTCCTTGTCAGCCATCTTTAAATTCCATAATTGTGGTATTCAGTAATTCATCTTTTTATATTTCGCAAAGTTGTCTTTGTCACAGTATTTCTGTACATTTATTGTCATTGTCACACATGAGTGATCACTTTTAATGATTAGAGACGTATCTACAATTTTTGTATTTATTATCATATTTTTATTGGCGTCATGTATCCATATTGAGTCAATTCTGCTTTGGCTTCTGAGTACGTTGTTATGGTATTGATGATATGAATACTCTTGTTTATCACTATTGATAAATCTGTAGGTATCAATATATCCACTGTATATAATCGATTGTAAAATACTTCCTTCTGGTGAGGTTTGTTTTCTTTCTGGGAAGCGGTCTATTTTAGGATTGGATACTGCATTCCAATCTCCTAATAATATTGAGATCCAATTATTTGATAATGCTTGGGAAATTTGATTGTGTAACCATGTTCTTAGAGGAGCGATTATGTTATTATTGTTCGAGTATTGATTAGGTATATAAATACCAACTATCTGAAACACTATCTTCCTTTTGAAAGATAGTAAAATACTAATTCCATGACCTGGGAATGTGTTTACTTTGTATACGTGTTGAGCGAGCTGCGTTTTAATCATTAGGCCTAATCCTGAACCCATATTATTATTATTTGCTTCTAATACAGACGACCACCATGTTTTATATACTGGGTCTTGTGATTTCTTTTTTGCTAGTAGAACTTGATCGATAAATATATTTTTCTCAGAGTCTTTCGTTGTTTTTGTTTCTGTTAATAAAACTATATCAAGGGTTTTTTTCTCACAAAATTCCCACCACATATTTTGTTTTAAGTTGTCATTTATTCCTTTAACATTTTATGTACCTATCATCCAATTTAAATGAAGATGTAAGTTTGTCACATGATTATTATTATTATTATTATTTTTTTTGTTTACATTTGAGTTATTATTATTGTTATTATTATTATTATTATTATAAGAAAGTAAATTATTATTGTTATTATTATTATTATTATTATAGGTATCCTCACTATCTATTGTTATATTAGAATTTGTATTTAATAATGATTCATTTTGTTCAATCATCATTATGATATTTTTTAAGAAGGGAAACTATTGAGAAGCTGATGAGCTTCCTAATTTTCTATCGATGTTATTTTGACGGGTTGAAATTTGTTCAATACCTTGTGTCAATGTAGTAACTTGTCCTGCCATTCTAGTTAGCATATTCATCATTTGAGTATTGTCGTTCTGATTATTATTATTATTTTTATTATTTTTATTATTGTCATTATTATTGTCGTTAGTGTCAGAATAGGAGGTATTTGCAATGTCGTTGTCTTGCTCCATTTGATCTTGATCGTCTAATTCATCATTATTTTGTCTATTGTTAGTTTCTTCTAGATTGAGATATCTTTCTACTTTTGTGATTCTTTGTGTCAAATTGTTAAGTATCTCTATTGCGTGGGACATCTGTGTTTGTATTTCTGTCATTTGTTTAGATAACATATTTAAAGAGTTATTATCATTATTGTTGATAGGGTTATATGTTTCTTGTTGTTGTTGTTGGTATATAAAGTCTTTTGTTGTTTGATTCGATTTTAATACTCCAGCATAAGACGGATCGAGTTTCTTTTGAATTCTGTTAAAAGCTGTTCGATTGTGTCGTTTTTATACATTACCAAATTTATCCATTCTTTCTTGTAGTTTCTGTGTCTGTGCTGAAGTACGAAGTGTAATAGGACATTCTTTAACCAAGTGTCCAGGATCATGGCAACGTCGGCATGTTTTAATTTTGATATCTAATAAATTAATTGTGAAGTTATCTGTGGTCCATGTATGTCCTATCGCATGATTTTTTATTTCTTCAGATTCAAATGCTACTATAGCCATCCTTTTACGAGCGTAAAAGGCATTGCGAGGAACGTAACAGGTTTGTGCTCCAATTTGATTCAGTCCATTGTATAATTCTGCTGGGGTCATCCCAGGAGGAAT